CCCCCCCCCCCCCCCCCCCTTTTTTTTTTTTTTTTTTTTTTTTTTTTCCCCTTAGCAAAAGAAACGTCTGGTAGTTGCGAGCTCGCTGGAAAACCAAGCAACGCGCTTCGCCCAGCGCAGGTGGAGCAGCTCTGCTTGCTGAGGTTAGAGATGCGTAGTGTGGTGCCCCTGCTCTGTACAATGCCGTTTGGCTTAAAAGGCCGACTGCTGCACGCGAGCAACCGCACAGAAATTTTGGAAGCGCGTAGCTCAGAGCCGCGCGCGCGTTCCCCCGTGCGATTAAAATACGGGGATCCATAGTTAGTTCTAACTTGGTTACTTAACACGTGATAAAGGTTTGTTTTAAGGCTGTTGACAATCTTTGGGAATTGCTATACTTTAAAAAAAAAAAAAAAAAAACTAACGTAGGGCAATGCCCTATTCCCTCGTAGCTGAGCGTCCGCTTGTCCTGGCAGCGCTGTCGTGCCGGCCGCAGCGGTGTTTCGTCATGAGCGCTCACTGACCAGGTGTCACTGCTGATCGATAAGCGATAGCGCTGGTGCTCTGTGTGAAGCTCTCGTAGCGACGCTTTCGCAGCCATCTTCGGGCTTGTGTGTGGTTTGTTGGTAATACATACATCTATAAAACAAGTTTTATTAATCATAAAACTAAATTATCTGCAGAAAGCAATCCAGAATTTTAGTAGGAGTTGTTCCGATGTTTCCATATTTTTACGACAAATGAACTCGTTATATGTAGGGCCTGGTCCTCTGGAGTTGCATGTGCCGTGCTCTCGCAGGATGATAAATCCTCAGAAAAGTATAAATTTATTGTAATACCATATTGAAACTGGGGTAGCTTAAAACTGCTAAAAGGCTGCTCTGTGAGGAACTCTAATGCCTTATTCATTTACTGAGTATTCTCACTGAAGCATGAATGATATTCCCGCGTTGTGTGAAAATAAGGTTGTGTGTCTTTGCAGCACTGGGACTAAGGCTAAGGTATTTTGTTTAAGCTCGTGTGCAAATGCAGGTTAGCTGTTATTTGCATAAATAAAAGACAGACTTGTAGTTCTTTTCATTCAAGTACAGATGCAAAGTATACTGTGGTGTGCTTAGCCTCCGCTTTCTCCCTGGGTCATGGTTTTGATATTTTGAGATAATATTTTAAAGTGCATTTCTGTGATGTTGCAGTGGCCTAAATCTTCCATTTATTGCTGCTTCTGAAGGCCTTTTCCTGCAGCCCCGTTTGCCCTGGCAAAACCTGGGCTTGCTTATATAGGGAGACATAGACATATATATAGAGAGAGATATATATATATAGAAATAAGTGTGGTTCTATGCAGGCATGAGAATCTGCCTATGTGGATGCAGTTGCAGGATTGGGGCCTTACAACTTGAGTTCAAATAGAGAAATCTTTGTTCCAAAAATTTCTAAAAATACAGAACCAGTCTTGAACCTTAACTCATGAATAGCCATGTTCAGGAAATGATCTTACTGAAATCTAAGGCAGTGTGCTCTCAGCTACAGTTTTCAGTTACGAACTTTCCTACTCAACATCTTCTCCCTTTAAAAATCCTTTGAAGTTTTAAAAATTCCTAGCATCTTAAATGGTTATTGCTTTTTAGACTTGGGGCTATCGTTGTCCTTCCTTAAGGCGCAGTTTACCAGATGAGTGAATTAGCTGAAATTAAAATTCCAGCTTAAATTCATTTTATGTAGGAAAACAAAAAGAAGAAATTGTTCAGTTTTGGAACAAAAAGTTGTCCCCCCCCCCCACCCCACAGTTATGTTTTTTTTCCTGCAGATTGAAGCTTGTTGCAAGTCTATATGTCACTATTATTAGGAATAACGCTTAATTTTAATTTTATATTTATTGCATTGTATTCTGAAGCATAATTTGTATTGTCAGTATTGCCTAAAAGGTATTATTGTTTTTCTCTTGATATATTGCACATCCTTATTCAGTAGATGCTGCCTTTTTTGCAGAGTTGAAGTAATAAGCTTTTTTAAAAGGCAGAATGAGGACAATGTTGCTGCTTCTGTTTTCCTAGGTAGATTTTAACATGTGAATATAGTAGTCCAAAAATATGATTCCAGATAGTAATTAAAAATGGTTAGCCCTTACGTATCATTGAGTGCCTTCATCCTGCGGCAGATCTTCTGTCTGGGTACTTCAGCATGTGTGCGGTGCCTTGGCTTGTGCAGGGCTCTTCGGAGTTCCCCCTGGGTGAGGGCTGTGCTCTTGTTGGTAAAGTTGTCCCCAACAATAACTCTTGTAGTTGACTTTGGTGGCCTCATAGTGTTTTCTCTCTCAAATTGGATGGTTTTACTAATAAAATGGTTCTGTTTTGTTTCCAGAATTAAAGCAGGCCTGGTTTGGTTAGCTGAGCATAGCAGAGAGCTGAGCTGCTGAATGACCAGAAATAAGCCCAACTTATGATTAGATCACAGAGCAGAGACAGAAGCTCCAACTCTGTGGTGTTGATGTCGACCACAATTAGATGCGGTGTAGCTACTCTTGATGGAACAGAACACTTTCCGGAGAGGGACTAGTTGCCTAAAGTCTCAAAGTATGAAATAGATAGAAATGGAGCGTTTTTGCTTTCTCTGTAATATGGTTTGTACCAATACTGACTGAAGGTTATTACTGTAAGGTGGCTTGAAATGTATCTTTTGCAATGATTTTCATGGTCCCTGTCCAGCTCTGAGTGGATTAAACTCCATGTTGTCCAAACATCTTAAAATCTATGTATTTAATGTTTGTTAGTCCCAGCAGAAGGGCCAGGCAACGCGAACGCGGGGAATTTTTCTCTCCTGGTCAAATAGAGGAGTCAACAAAACTGCTGTTTAAGCTATTTGAGTTTGTGGATAAGCTGAGGTTCTTAGAGATCCCTGTTCCCCTTCTATCCCCAAGCTGGTGTTTTTTGGAAACGTGTAGATGATTATACCTTGTCTGTGAGTTGCCAGGAACACACCAAGCAATATAACATCAAGTCTGTGCTAATATTAGAAAATACAAAACAGCACAGTTAAGACCTCTTTAGTGGTGGCTTGTGTTTGGATGCGATGTGTGAACCTGTACGCTCAGTCCTCTTAATTGTACGTCTTTTAACCACTGACAGATAATTGCAATGCAGTTTACAAGGCGTCTGGGGATTCTGTTGCCCAAAAGGGTCTTGCTTGCAGTGAATGTCAAACGCCAAGCATACATTTTTAAATGTGTCTAATCCACGTGGTTTAAAATATTTTCAGCACAGTGTTTTCTCAGAATTGCTGATTTATTTTTATTTTATTTTATTTTTTTTGGTCTACAATGCTTTGGGCTTTCTGATCGCGACTAGGCCATTAACTTCTCTGTAGACTACAGAAGAGATCAGGTACCAAATTTCTGCGTGATACGACACTGACAACTCTCAGTATGACCTAGCAAAGATTTCCCCATAACGTTTGCTGCAGCAACGTTCCTCAACCTTTCTGAAGGACTGCTTAACTATTTTGGGAGGGAGCGCACAGAGTGCAGAGGTACAGCTTTGTTGTCTTGGAGTTGACGTGCACTGCAAGGGAACTGATTATGCCTGCTTGCGGGTACTAAAAGCAGTTGGGAGCTGGCCTCTTCCTATGCCTGACAGCAGGCGCTGACAGCTGCGCAGGTGTGTGCATTTAAGTGTTTTCTTTCTCTTTTTACCATCGTTTTGCAAGCTGCCTTCTGTTGTGTCATGGACCACCAGTGGCCACAGTCTGCAGGACAAGTAATGCTGCCCTAAGTGATTATGTCATGAAGAGCGGCTTTGCTTCTCTGTCCTGCCCGTCTTTGCTATGCGGCCTCGCTAGGGTGCTAAGTTTGCTGCTCTTCACATGCCCAGATGGGATTTTTAGCAGAGGAAGGAGGTCTTGTTCCAGTCATGGTTTCAGGAGTGAAAATGGGAGAAGGGGAGATAGGAATGTGTTCCCAAATTTCAAATGTTAGTGCTGACCTCATAGGAACACAGGAAATGCTGGGTCAGATCAGTGGTCTGTCCAGCCTAGTGCCCTGTCTTGGGCAGGGGGAATAAGCGATGCTATTGAAGGAGAATACAAAAGCCTGGGCACTTCTTCGTGTTCTCAGCTCTTTCAGCATCCGTTTTTGTTAAATTAGGCATTCTAGCAGGTGCATCACCGCCCGCTTCTTTTAGTGTCTGCTTATGTCCCCATTGTCTCTTTTTTTGAACCTGATGGTACTATCTGCTGCCACAACCTTCTGTGGCACCAAGTTCCAGAAGTTCACTGGCTAATCTGTTTTTAAAAAAAAAAAAAGTAATTTTTTTTAATATGTCTTAAATCAATCTCTTACTAGCTTCATCGAGCACCGCTGTTTCTAGAGGTGTGTGATTTGATACGTGACGTTTCTGTGTTTCCCTTATCCCCTACCTTTATGATTTTGTAAAGCTCAGTCATTTCCTACATCAGTTGGCTACAGCACAGATTTCTGGGCTCTCTTCTGCTCTTCGCCCTGTTGCTTCTGACTATCTCAAAATCTTTTATTTAGAAGCAGTTGTTTAAGAAATGTGCAGGATCCTTAAGACGCAGCTTCTGGCTCCTCATTCATGGGTTGTAGCTAAAGCCAGTTTGAGCATATGCAACTGTTTGTGTTGAATCTTTCTACAGCTTCAGTGTGGAGTATAATTGCCAGCCCTGAAACAACTTCCAGAGGGTTTTGTACCCTGATATTTTTGCAGCAAAGTACAGCTGCTTAAACGTTCGTGTTTTTTTTTTTCTTTTTTTTCCAGGGGAAGTCCATGTTTCCGTCATCTCTTACTGAATCCTGTGGGACAAAAATAATTTCTCCCCCACCCACTATTTAGCTAACTGTGACTTCAGTTCTTTTCAGATAAGTGGCATGTGCCTAGTCTAGTGCTGTGCTGCTTCTTATATAGTAGCAAAAAGCTCTGGTAAGAATGCCTGTGTATTTTGTTTGGATTACAATACTAGTTCAGGTTAAATCAGAATCAACAGATTAAAAAGTCCTTGTAATGTATATATGCTATGGAAGTAAAAAGAAAAGGCTCTTTTTAGATTCAGTACAACTTTAGTGCCTGATCCTGGAGTATATCCATACAGTGCCACTGCCTTTCAGGGGCTCGATGCAGGAGTCTATCAGTAAAGATTTAATTGCAAGATTGAGAGATTTGCTGCAGTTTTTTTTTTTTTTTTAATATAAGACTGGCAGCTGGGTTGGTTACCTTTCTTTTTGTTCATCACTCTGTAGTTGCACTGATCAATTCCTATCAAGATTTTTAACATGATTACATTATATGAGCTTCTCTTAGTGTGTATGTAGACTCAAAAAAATCATGTTCAAGCTCATTGGCTTCCTTGAGGAATGTTGTCAGTATTTGTGCTTAAATATTTCACATAGCATGCTGCTTGTGCCCCATATCTTTCGGAAAGACGACAAGGGAAATGCTGTGCCGGCCTTGACGCTGTCAAGTTAAACACAAAAATAAGACTTAAAATTACAAGTTAAATCCAAAAATAAGACTGGGGGCACAAGAATAAACCTGAGATTGCAGTGGCTGGGAAGGGCAGAGTAGTTATCGCGGTGTATTTCTTGCTGTTTACTTTGGAAGAGTTCTGAAGAACTCTCTTTCTTTGGCTTGTTGCTTGATAACCTGAAGAAAAAGAAATGTTGCTGGGTTGTGCAAAAGAGGAGAAGGTCACTGATCAGTAAGAGGACTCTACAAAGCATAGTAGTAGTAGCTTAAAAGAAGATGGTACATAGAAAGAAATATTGAGCAGCACCCAGGTCATCCCACCTCTGCAAGATTCCCCTGTTCTTTCAAGTTTTTCATTTTGTCCAGTATGTCCCTAAGTACAAGCTTCAGTTAACTGCTGAGAGAAACAAATCCCAGGGCAAAGGACTTTCTGTTAACCTCATTCTGTGTATGAGATGCAATTAGTTAAGGTGCATTTGATTATTTCTGCTACCATAGTAATGGAGGGGGCTCTCTCTCCAACGTATGGGACCCAAACCCAGGTCACAACCTTCCAGTATATTGGGCACATCACCATGGGATTTCTTTTTTTCCTTCACATGATTGCTGGATAATATTGAAGTGCACGTCAGTGTCTGCCTTAACAAAGGCGTCTGAAAGGGTTGTTTGGTTCTCGCTACACTAAAAAAGTGATGATAGTTCCCTGTTTCCATGCCATATTTTTGAAGGGAGGGCACAGCCAACAAAACAATGAATTTTTTTTGTGTTAGGACTAAAGCATTGTGATGGGTATAGCTTCAAATGTATATAGTATATGCTCTTCCATGCGTTGAGAGAAATTGAGAAAAGTGGTTGGAACTGGGTTAGATGGTCTGTGCTTATGCTTTAGCTATCTGGCATAAATTAAGTGCTAGGCGCCTGTCCCGAGCGGGTACTTGTGTTTGTGCATGGAAAGGGAACTATGTGCATAAAGAGGAAACATGAAATGATCCTCGCTATTGTCAAATGATTAGTTAGGTCACTCGTATTTAAGTCAGTAACATTTTGTAGTGAATACACCCATTCTGTATGCTGCGTATGCTGCAGATGTACATATAAAATTATTTCAATAATTCTTAAGGTTATTTTTAAATTTCTAGTACTGTCTTCTGTCCTTCTGCTTGTGCAGCTAGATATAAGCTAAGGAAAGTGCCTGGTTTGTGCTGTTTGCTGAGAAATGCATGATAGGGCATTTTGTTTTGCCCTTGTGACTTAAAGTAGCTTTTCTAGATCCCCAAATGTTGCAGTGCTTGTCTTTTTCTCAAGGCGCTTTTATACAGTGGTATTGAAGGTTTTCTTTCTTCACAAGAGGAAACAGTATTGTGCCTGTGAAGTCTGTGGGCTCCCTCCTTGCAATTTTTTTCTTGCCATTTTGGGCCTTCAGGAGGAAATAAATGGATGAGTTGGTAGTAGGTACCTTTGTCACATGCCTCTAATTTATTACTTATTTTCTGACTATCACCTCTACGTACACTCCTTTGCATGCTGTATAACACATACGAAATATAACACCCGTGAAACTGAGTGAGTACTAAATACACCATGCTGAAAAGAGTTTGTTCTAGTAATTCAGAATGGTCTTTCTGAATAACAGCTGCCTTTTGCAGGCTGGGTTGGGTGTAGCAGAGTAGCTGCAGAGTATGTGTACTGTTAAATTTTACTGGAAGCTGCTTTGGTAAAGAAGGAAATGCTTGCTAGAGGCTCCATAGTGGTGGGAAACCAAGAAGCAGCTTCTGATTTCACGGGTTTGTTATTTTGTTGCACTATAGGAGTCTGTTTTATTAAAAAACAAAACAAAAACCAAAACCTTTTGCAGAAATGACATTTCCGCCCTCCTGGGGTCAATGGGAGTACTGCCTCTGGCATTAGTAATGCCAGAATTTACCTAAAATAAGTACAATAAGATTGGGAAGACTCTAAAGAATCATGCAGACCTTGGGAAGGCCTGCTCATTGATGCCTGCAAAAGTTGTGAGCAACTACAAGCTCTGGAAACTGTTCACTAGATGCGGTAAAGACAGCTAAAGAAAAGCTTACCTGCACTGCCTGATAAAAATAAAATTTTGCAGAGCAAGGATAGTCATTTAAAACGTCCCTGCAATAAGATGGGTTAATGGTACATCAGCATTCAGCCTGACTGAAAGCAAGTGGTCTAATTTGCTGCTTAACCTTTTTTCCACGTGTAGCTCCTGATGATTTTCCAGTAGATGGGTGGAATTTAGTTTAACAGGTTTAAGCCTGGTGACAATATTCCACCCCCCCCTACTTTTCCTTTCAGTTCTCAAAGAGCTGGGACTGCTGGTTTAAAACTGTTGTGTTGCGTTAGAGGATCTGGCTCGTTGGGTGCTAGCTGAACCACAGGTTAAGCGGCCGCATCTTGCCACTTACGTATTAAGCGGTATGGTCCTCTCTGTTTTGTCTTGACTGACTTTGACCTTTTTGATGTTTTCCTTAGACAATCTGCTTCATCTTGATTCATCATCATTCCAGGATACTGGTGTCCTTGGGGCTCTCTCTTAGCATTGATATGGTACAGAAGATTTAAAATCAGGTATTGTTTTGGGTCCTTCTTTCCCACCACAATGAAACATACATGCATTTTTTTTTTTCCCCTTATGTGATTTATCGTAATATTTTGGTTCTTTCAGCTGATGTTCACAAGGAATAGAGTCACGTGATGTATGAAGGCAAACACATACACTTCTCTGAGGTTGACAATAAGCCCTTGTGCTCATATAGCCCCAAACTGTGCAAGCAGAGGCGACTTAACGGCTACGCCTTCTGTATCAGACACGTTCTGGAGGACAAGACTGCCCCCTTCAAGCAATGTGAATATGTGGCCAAGTATAACAGCCAACGCTGCACCAACCCCATCCCCAAATCTGAGGACCGTAGGTGAGTTGTGGTCGCCCCTCTGCAAAGTGGGAAGTAGCTGGGACGCAGGCATGGTTTTTCTTTTAAGATACCGCCCGGCTTCAGGGTGAGGGAGGAGCGGGCCTGAGAAGATTGATTTCCAGGATGTTTCTTTGAGGGTTTCATTTTAAGACCAATAAATTGTATTTTGTTTTCTGTGGGGAATCAAGTACACAGAAAGGGGGCAGTCACTTATTCTCAAGGAAGTTTTCAAGAGGTCATTGCTTTTCTCAAATTCACTGTAAGCTGTGGATCAAACCTGCTGCTCTGGACCTACTGTTCTGATTAATTTGCTCTGTCACTCATAGTACACACACTGCAAAGTGCCTGCTTGTTTGGCCAGCTCTGCCAAAAGCACACTTCCATCTACTTTTGCAGGAGAGACAACTGGAAATGCATACCCCCTGGGCTTAGGGAGTGATGACACACAGGGATGAAGCTGGAGTTACAGTTCAATGTTTTTTACTTGGTTTGGTAGTGATCTGTGGTGTTGGATTACTGGAATAAAATAAATGTTACTTGATGAGAGACTGGCCAGCTAGGATAGTGCTGTTGCCTGCCTTTCTTCTTTATTGCCTCCCTTCCTCTCCCCATCCCTGCCCAAATGAAGATGCCTGAGGTGCCTGGGTTATTAAATGGCTCGCAAGAGATTGTACTTGAAGCCTTTGGAGAACTGGGAATTCAAACCAGATTTCCTGAATTGCAGCCCATGCCGTAACCGCAAGGCCGTTCTTCCTTGCTCTTTAAGGCTTTTTGAACAGCAGTTGCGTTGATGTTGCTTGGAGTGAAATAGCAGAATTTGACTAGTCTTGGCTGCCAGGTATATATGACTTTAATTTTTCAGGGTCACCGCTACGGGTTTTGTCAGTAATCCGGCATTTGATTAATGTATTTGTTAACTATCTGAGGCTTGTTCTGTTACAAACCGTAACTTTTTTCCGACCTAAAATATAAACAAAGCATGCCAAAAAAGAATCAAACCACTATTCACTGACCTTTCACATTATTAGCTGCCGTTCACTAACCTTTTGCATTATTAGCAGTGTTCCCACTGTGCCCTACATATAACTTCCTCCTCGACTCACAGCTCCCTCTCTTGTCTGAAACAACAGTTGGACTGTGCTCTAAATTAACTTGCACTTCACCTGCCATTTCAGTTGAGGAGACTGATGAAGTGAGGAAAAAAACATGAATGTTTGTCAAAAGCTGTAGGGCAAATGCTCAAATGGCACAAAATGAATAACTTGAAGCTGTAATTTGACAGCCAGTGATTGTTTCTTTGCTACTGTACGGTTGAGGCTGTTTGGAAATAAGCTAGCAAAAAATGATCATAGAAATTGTTAGAGCGAATGATATGCTGTAATTTCAGATGCAAGAGCTGACTGAGCCAGAGTTGCTGTTTATGCAGTGGTCATACTTAATAGAAATAATAAGACTTAATGACGTTTCTTAGCTCTCGTATGTTCCCATGGAATTTGATATTTTTCTTTACACCTTGAATTGAGTTCACACTTTAACTTGAGAAAAAATCAAAATGAATATACTGAAGTGTGGCCATGACATCTGGTGTATGTTATATTAGAATAATTCAACTGCATGTCGGGTGTCACATTACAGTACTTGAAGAGGACAGCAGGTGTCTGAAGGAGAGAATAAACTTTTAATTTCAAATGAGAGGATGTGATAGGTTGAAAGAATATTTTAAAAGTCTGTTTCTCAGGATAGAGCTTAATTTTAACAATAACATTTAATGAATGCTAGTGATAAGCCCTGTGCCTGCTCTAAACAGTTTTTTTTTTTTTTTTTTTTTGGCTGGGAAAGCCTGTATCTGTTTCTTAGGAGACTTTTTTTCACACTCGGTTCAATACAAAGATGTTTGCTATGTCTCAGTTCTTCACTTGTAGCTTTCAATTCTCTGTGTATAAAATTACCATCAGATGGTCATTTTGCTACAGTTTTAGACATGTAACGGTATATGATCAGAAGCAGGCTGTATGGCTCTCTGACAGCTATCATCCGAAATACTTGTTAAGATTATAAAGAATAAAATGTCTTAACAGGATATATGCATTATCTGCCAAAAGCCTCATAATCTGTCCATAGATAATTAAAAAAAATTATCCCTTGACCCCATACCAGTGATGGGGTGCTATCAGCCACAAAACTGGTTAATACGCTGTTATGTTATTAAATTTCTTATTAACCGTTAACAATCTTCAAATTAAATCTATTAATAGCATGTGGCTTCATTACCTTATCTGAAGTGTAGCTTCTCTGTTCTCTATTCTGTTTTTTAAAGAATATATACTGGATACAGACATGTGTTATATATATCTGTGTTTCCTCTTGAATACGTCTTCTCGTTTCTTCTTGTCCAAATATACAAATAGATAATGAAGTTCAATTAAATTTTTAATGATATTGTTATTATAATTGGCCTAGATTAAACACTTAACCTCTAATTCTCTTCTTTTAAGACAGTTTGCAAATCCTTTGTTGATATGCAGGATACTCTCCAGTTTAATTAGATCTTCCTTTAAACAAGCGTCAGTACTAGCCTTGGCTGCGCTATGAAGCAGAGCGCAGATGTAGGTGGAAAACCTCACCCTGTCGATTCTTGCCCTGGCTGAGATGTGGCAAATTGTCCAGCTGAAGCTTTGGGGGCCCATCAGCTTTTGTGTGCTTCATGTTATGGTAGTTTTAATGGAGATCAGCCCACCCCTCTTGCCGTATGTGTTGACTGCATTTGATCTCACCTGCACCAGAATAAGTGCCTTTGGCACTGAGTAAGGAAGAGGGGGAAAAACTGTATTAGATGCTCAGTGTGAGATTAACTCACAGTGAGAATAACTTGTCGCAGCAGAGCGTAATTCCCATTTGGCTCTGTGCAGGGCCAGCTTCGACCTAACAGGTTTCATGCTCAGAGCCATGTGAAAGGGACTGGGCTACTTCCAGGTGCTATTCCAGTCTAGAAGCTGTTTAATCTGTCTTTTATGGAGCATAAACTACAAATGGCTTCCCTACCATTACCTGCAATCCAAAGAGTTTATTGCCTCAGCTCAGCTGGATATAGGCTGGTTCCAGCAGAGCCAGTTCATATCTGCACCAGGATCTGCAGCACTGCATAAAGTCGGAGCCAGTTTGGGCCAGGGCCAACTGAAAAGCCAATGTGGAACCTAAAGGGCTGGGAGACGCAGTGCCCGGGTGCCTGACTGGCGCTGCATGGGACCAGCTAGAGTCTGGCAAGGCCGAGGTTGAATTGGCGCTAATAAATTATGCCTAGCCTGAGTTGACTGTATGTGGAGCCACCCAGAGAAGGCTTAAGTGCCCTTCCCCGTTTCTTCTTGCCCCTTTTAGTCCAGTGGCCAGGGTGCATCAGTCTCCTCTATGCTGGCAAGCAGGGAGTTGATACTCGGAGCTTAAAGCATAGGTTCCTCCAGCGTACTGGGGAGCGCGAGTGCAAATGATCTGCATTTGCATTGTGTCGTAGCCTGACGTCCATGGGCTTGTGTCCAGAGGTGTTGCCCGTGTAAGATATTGTTAGCTTTCAGTGTTGTGTTATTGTCGGTTTTAAGAGGCAAAGCTTTGCTCAGCCATATAAAAATGCCAGAGCATCAAACGACCAAAACCCTTAGTACCCTAAAACTGAGAGATTGTTTACAAGCTAATTACCTTTTCATAGGTTTATTCATCTTGCCTTTACCTCCTGGCTCCTGCACAAGCACAGAGAGACAATATTTAACGTGCAGATAGCATTAGGGAAGCATTGAAATTGAGCAAAGCTTTTTTATTGGAATAAGGAAAGAAAGAAACGTTTTGATTGGGTTTAAGTCTCGTCTGTTTGTTTTCTTTTTTTCTGTCATACTAAAAGTGCTGTTCGAACTGATCTCAGTCTTGTTGAAGCACAATATTAAGAATGTGCTTAATTTTAATTATGCAACTAGTGCTATTGACTTTAATGGAAACTTTATTGAGCCCTCAGTTGTAGCATTTAATTTTTAAAAGTGCATCTCTCAATATGAATTTTATGACATATCAGCTCTGTGTGTGTTCCAGTAAAAACTTCACACATTGCTGGCATTCATCTTGCCTCACTGAGATTTATTCATTACTTAATTTCTTCATTATGGTAGTTGTATTTAGACAATAATATGTAGCAGTACTTTTTTAGCCTTCTTTTGATTTGTGAGTCCCTGAGGATGTGGATCCCTCAAGAAACTACATATATGGAGATTGCTAAATTTCATATATGAATTTGCATTTTCTTTTTTTTTTTTACCCTTTGTGGACCTTTTAGAAGTAGTTCACGCATTGCTCCCTTCATGGGTGCAAACATGAAGTTGAAGCTCACTAAACTGAAGTGTTAAGCTTTCTCGTTATTTGAGGGGTTAGGTTTGGGCTTCGTTGCTGGTTTGTCTCTGTGAAGACCAGGAATAACTTTGTTTTAGCTTGTATTCACATTTGTTCAACGCAACTCACTTTTCTCAGATTCATACTGATTAGATGTTAGAGAATACCTTCACGGCTATATCCTTAACTTACCCTAGAAATGTTTCTCTGCTGCTTGGTGTAGACATCACTCTCTCTGCAAATCTTTGTTTTCAGTGGTAAGCTGCAGGCCTGTGACTCTGCAAAGGCAGAAGCGTGGTTGCTGGTGGGATCCCACAGGGGCAGGAGAGTCTGCCTATATGATCCAACCCTTTTCCTGCTTTTATACGTTCCTGTCATCTGCTTGTTTTAATCAACCAAAGATGAATTGTTTACTTTTTAATATGTTACCTGTGGCCATAAGTTGTCACTCCTTTTCTCTTCCTAATTTTCAAGGCACACCTTCCATGGCTTTTTCTATTTTTAATAACATGACATTAGAGCTTTTTTATTTTAGAAGAGCTCGTAATCTGTTTTTGTGGTTTGTATGTGTACACATTCATGGCATTGTGTAAAAGCTTTCCAGCAGCAGAGAAAGTCTTTTAAACTAGATTTTTTATTTGAAGACTATTCAGCTAATCTTTTGGATACGATATGTTAAACAATTAAAACAGAACTTCAATTTTAAGCTACTTGTTCATCAAAGGCAAATAGTGGTCCTTCTCAGTAGGTGTCTCTATAGTGAGATTGTCCCTATAAGCATCTTCTTCCAACTGCAACGGAAGTCGCGTTAAAAAGGTTAGCTGTTTGCAGTGGAAGAGCAGCCAGTGGAAAGGAAGCAGTCTTTAGTGTACTTTTTCTTTGGGAGCTTTTGAAATGGTTCTGTATGGTCAGAGTTAATGGCTTGAGTTCTTACTCTTTCATGCATCAGACGGTCCCATTTGTTTTTTTTTCATTTTGTGAATATTTACCCAATAGAGAGTAAACATTTTGAATGGCAGTGTGAATAATGTGTGAGGAGTTTTATATCTGAAGGTTACAAATTGCAATTTGTGTAAGTTTTTTGTTTTCAGTTAAAGGTTGGGAAAACAATAATTATCTGTTGTATTAGATGCAGTTGTGTACTCTTTTTATAAAACCTCTTGTGTTTTGATCTGATTTCTCGTGAGATGGGTGTATGTAGGTCTCCCTTTTGTGATATGTTTTATTCAGATTTTGGCTTACAAGAACTGACTTAAGAACCTGCTGTTTTTACTTTTCCAAGGTACTGCAACAGCCACCTGCAGGTACTTGGCTTCATACCGAAAAAGGAGAGGAAGAAGAAGAATGATCCCATAGAGGAGGTAAAGGTCAGGCATCAGATGGATGCTATGGCCTTCAGTCTGACAGTGCCCACCCTGGCCTTGAAGATGCCCAATGGACTGGATGGGATGTCCCTCTCCCCACCGGGGGCTAGGCTTCCCCTCCACTACCTGGAGGCAGAATTAGAAGACCCCTTTGCTTTCAACGAGGAAGATGATGACCTAAAGAAAGGGGCAACAGTGAGGAAAAAGTTGCAGAGCAAGTTGGCTCAAAACCGGCAGCGCCAGAGAGAGACAGAGATTTTGAAAGTTCGCCAAGAGCACTTTAGCCCCCTTCCTGCACCTTTGCAGCAGCAGCCTCTGCAGCAGCAGCACTCCCATCTGCCACCTTCATCAGCTTCGTTAAAGCCGACAGGGCTACCGCAGGGCGTCGTCTGCAAGTCACCTCAACCTCCGAACACCAGCCTACCAATGCAGGGAGTGGCACCCACCACACACACTATAGCACAAGCCAGGCAGTTGTCTAACAAGAGACCTCTGCCTCTCCTGCCACCCGCTAGGGCTCCTGTCACGGACCCTCCGAGGACTGATCGGGTCCTAATGAAAGCCACAGCCTTCTCTCCGCACTCGTCCTGCATGAGCCGGCTACAGAGACTGGTGAAACTGTGCACTCGAAAACAGCAGCTGGACACTGATCTGTTTCCGCATTTAGGTGGGTAGATAATAACTGCGCGGCCTTTCCCCCCTCCTTCTGTTGTTTGGTTTCAGGGCAGTGAGGTAGTATCTTAGTGGTCCTGTCCTGCATTCCGGCGTGGTCCTTACCGAGTAACCCCAAACTAGGTAGTCGGTGCTTTCTTTAGCCCTCCTCTCTACGTAAGGAATGCCTAGACCCATCACGCGACAGTTTATGGCATTTTTGTTGCGTGTTCTTCTTAACGTGCGTTTGAGAAGTCAGACTGCGGTGGTGAAAACGTTGCTTGTGTGATGCAGACCTCCTACAGAAGGTTTGCGACTTGAGTGCTAAAGACAGTGCCAGCCGTGGGTGGACAAGGTTACACTGAATACTGAATAGACAAGTGCAGATTACCAAATGTGTCCAAGTAAAAATTTGGAGATTTGGCCCATCGTTCTGTGCGTAGGCAGATATCTAGGTGACTTGGTTAGGAAATTTGGAGAACAGGAGGGTTTTTCCTGAGTGGGCCTGTCTGTGTGCAGAACGTGGATGAACAAAAGAAAGGCTGTGCCGCATAGGAAGGCAGTGCCATTAGAGAAGCGAATTGGAGAGGCAGAGCCACGTCCACGTGTCGGTCCAGAAATACCCTCCTCCTTCCTTACTATCTAGAAACCATAACAATCAATTATTGCTACTTATGAAAATGTAAATAAATATTACTGACTTGCTGCTATGGGAATAGTACTCTATGAAGTTTTAAAAAGGCAGCTGACCCGGTGGCTTTTTTGTCTGATTATGAATATAGACTTAGATACATCTAGCTGTTCTTGTTGTCCCCTCCAATCTCCAGAGTTACCTTACTTTTCTATTTAGTTTTAGATCGTAATTTTCTAGCAGGTATAATACTGAGCAGAAAGTTAGGGAAACGTCAGTCAGTGTGGTATATTAGAAGATGAATGCCGTTTGTGGTTTGGTTTAGTTTTTTGAAGAGACTTCAAATAAATCTGGAAGTTCTTTACACAGCGTCTTACTTAATCACAAGCATCTGTAATTTTTGCTATTTCAATTAACTCTTTTTTTAATTTGCTATTAAGATCTGCCCTTTGGCACTTGTGGGATAATTTGACTATTTGTTCAGAAGATAATTAGCATCCCCCAGCATGTCTCTGAAGGACATGGCTCTGCAGAAATCCTGTTTGATCCTATACATAATGCAGTTTTTCTAACGAATAGCAACTCCAGAGTCACTGCCGAGTGTCACAGCCCCAAATAGGTTAGAAGGGGACCCGCCTTTTGGGCGGTTGTGGAAGGGTCACTGTCTGTGTTTAATGTTTTACGTTCTCAGGTGGTGGTTGCCCTGAAGACAATATGTTTCCTAAAGAGGCATAGTTTAGAAAAATGATTAGACCTATTAGTGTACAATTATACAAATACTAGAATAAATATGAAAATGATTGTATGCACTTAGAATATTTTATATTTGACGCATTAACAGCATTCACTTATTAATTATGTCAGTGTAGAAAATGTATTTGTTATTTATTCGTAATGTGGTTTAATATGAAGACTGCTTATGCCGATTGAGAAAATTTTAGGATTTCTGTTTAACAGTAGAGCAGTACTAGAGATAACTGCTCAGGATCTTTAAAAAGGTGCACTTGGCTTTAAGCATCCTTTCCCGTAGAACTATGTAATGTGATGTTTGTGTAGCTGCAATCTTCAGTGTGAGCATAGCTGAATCTGGATTAGATTTTATTCCTTTATTTCCCTAGTGCCCATTAGAAGAGAAAAACCCCAGCCTCTGACTTTATTTTTAAACTTTGGATAAAGACTTTGTTACACGGAGTCCATTGTGCGTATATCTTTATCTGATGATTAAGTTATTTTTTCTTTCCTGTATTGAAGTGGGGACAATGAAAAGCATTTAAGTTGAAAATATATTTCTGGCATTTCATCAAATGTCTTAAGGTATTTTATTTTAGGTCAAATGGGTATCTTAAAACTAGATACTAAGAACTATATTTTCAGAACCTTGCTGATGTTCATGAAAAATAAGGTTTCTGATATTTTTGCTTAATGTTAATTAAGTGTTGCTCCTAAATAATGAAAATGCTTCTAATAACTGTATTCCAAATCAGCGTTTGTTTCTAACTCTTAAAGTAGGTGCCCAAATACTGATGCGTTTCCCAAATTCTAAACATCTGACTTCAGAGTCATCTTGGGTATACATGTTTTATTTTTTAGGAAAAACAAAACGTTCCCTAACTCTGTCCCAGCTGCTGCTCGATTTTTAAGGAGCACATGAGGAAGTAACGAAAACAAACAGTGCTGTCTTATGAATGTGGCTGCATTTTTTTTTTTTCCCCCCCCTCCTGCTGCAAGGAGTCAGCAAGAATACCACTGGATGTGAGAGGGAGAGTAGGAAAAACTGCAAAGGATGATGCCCCAGCTGAAACGTTCCACCTGAGAACTTCCTGGAGTTGCTCGCTTTCTAGCTGTCCTGCTCAGTCTGAGTACCTGAGGCTGCTGGTGCCTACAATGAGTTGATCCTACCGCATTGTCATTAAGGGAAAGCATGCTGCTTAATGCAAGTGCATGACTATTTGCATCTCTTTTCTTAGCTCTCTTTCCATGCTATTTTATACATTTGGCCGGCAATTACAAAGACTGAGCAGAGGAACATCCTGTGTAGCTGCGTAACCATCTCTGTCCGTGCTGCTCTGTCTGATGGTTTTTCTGTTCTCCATGTGTTTTGGCAGCAGGAGCACAGGGTTTAGAATATGAGCAAAAATGAAAGTGGAGCTATGTGACCTATTTAGATCATATAGTGTTAAAAATTACCGGGCAGTCAGGTCTTTGTGGCAGGGACCTCTCTCTCATCTTGTCTTTAAAGACTTCATGCGCTTCGTACGAAAGCTGCAGTATTTCCTGTAGGTAGGAAGGCTGGTGATTTTGCTTTCATTGTTTATGGATAAAGAGGCCGATAAAAATGTTAAAAAGGAAAACTGGGAAAAAGCAGTGCACAGTATTTTTACACGGTAATGAAACTGTTACCATAACTTTTCCTGGGTAAATGAGAATTTTATATGATTTAATCAAACACAATTATGCTTGCAACTATACTACACAGGCTTAGAACAAGCAAAGACCGTTTGTCTGTAGTGCCATAGGTTGCTCAGAGATTTATGTGAGGTGAGTAGACGCTTCATCCAGCTTTCATGTTTTCAATTCCCTTAGGGCTGGATTGGTCTGAAGACAGTGGAGAAGAGTTGGAGGATTCAGAGCAAACCTCCCCTTACCAGGCTGCCTGGTCTATCCGAGAAACCCTCGGCTATGAAAGACACGAGTGAGTATGATTCTTTAGTATGCGTACTGGCCATGATGCAATAAATTATGTAAAGGCGAGCTTTACTTTAAGTGGAGTCAGTGGAAATTAAGCACTTGTTTAAGTGCTTTCTTGAAACAAAGGATTGTTTGAACTCATTTGTTTGTAAGAGCCATGAAGCAGCTTTCCGCCTTCTGTCCCAGTTTCCACCTAATGTGGAGTCCTTTGTGCAGTCTGCTATCAGAAGGATGCATCAGCAAAGAATTTAAGCTTGTTTGCCTAAATTTAATTGAGTTGAGTGGGATTTATTCATGAACTTGGGTGCCTAGCTGGATAGTGATACTTCGTGAATTGGAATGAAATGAAGGGCGTTATTCTTGTTTTTTCTTTACTACTATTTGTGAATAAGTTTATTAGTAAGCTTACTGCATTTTACTTGCTAATCTTTATGATAACTATGCTGGATGTTTGTTTTAATGCATTTCTTTGTCTTTTTGAAAGATTGTGGTATTTCTTTTAATAATTAAGAAGTGTTGAGTAAACCTCTGTCAAATAGTTGGGAGCACTGGAATGAAAATGTTCTGACTGAAGGGGATAAACACAGCAGGTATCTGCTGCTGGTGCAGAAAAGCTTACAGTGTGTACGTATATATATGTGTGTGTGTGTGTTTGTATGTATTCACACACATAGAAAGTGATACTGATATCTGTGTGTGTGTATATATATATATTTAAATACAGACAGACATCTATTAAATACAGACAGACATCTATATAATTTTATATATACAGATTAAGCCATGAATCTGTGAACCCACAACAAGGTATGATAATATGTGTCCCTACTGATGTAAATTCTAAGGTGCAAAGGTAAAGCAAAGCATCCCAAGCATAGTATTGCAGCATTGAAGTTTAAACCACAAGAAAAAATGTGGGAGGCATGTTGCTAACAGAAGGAAGTTTGGGGTCTCAGCAAGGTTTGATTGTGGTTTCTATGGTAGGATTCCCTTTCACTGTGCAACTAGACTTCTCGGTGTTATAGCTCTCTCGTATTTGTATAATCTTTAAATATCACGGAATAACAAATTGAAATTCTGAAACTTGCCAAAACTTCTTACCATCTTTTAAGGTTGTCTACAAGGTGAAGAGCAGAGCTGTACCTCTGTCAAGAGGACAGACACCAAAATGATAAATGCTGAAAGACTTCAGTAAATCAGAGCTTAGTAGCAGCGTGCAGATGTTTATTTTTCTTTTTAAAAAGGGTATTTTTTTGGTCAGCTCTAAAAGACCATTGCTTTTAGGCAGTCAGCAGTCAGAGAAGTAGTGAAGATTCATGAACATTAGTTTTACTTAAAGGGTAACTTTTTAAACTAAAATGTTTTGGGAGAGTAGAGAGAATTGATGCTTCCTCCCTGCACGGTAGGAAAATGGGAACAAGTTTTCAGTACATCTTTAAAGTCGTACATGATTTTCAAAGCAGGTGACATGTCTATCACGTAACTTCCCTTACACGCGTCTCTCTGTGACATTTGCTCTGGTTCTTCCATAGATCCCTATTTCTTTGTCAGGTTCTAAAGGTCAACTCTGTGTGTTTTGTCTTCTGTTTGTTTTAACTTTCTTTGAATTCTTCCTTCTCTTTTCACGTATTGAGAGAAAATACTACTTTGTCTTGACATTTTCTGTTCCTTTCTAACGTTTTGTGCACTTCAGTTGAACACCGTCTTCACTGATGATGATGGATAAATTTTGGTATAGTACTGGCAGATCCTTGTGTTGCAAGCAGTCTGCCTAGTCTTAACTCTTTAGCAACTTTCCTTATTTTGCTTATTGATAAACGTTGGCACGTTTGCTTGATTTCAGCCTTCTAAAACTTTTATTTCTACTCTGCAAGCTTCTGTGGAGATTTTTATTATCTGAAATGTTTCACTTTGACATCTTTGCAATATGGTCTGTCTGTTGCTGAAGGTGAGTTAGTCCAAACTATTCCTTGGGTGGTTTGGTTTATTAAAATAACTTTGTCTTACTAATCTGGTAGTTCAAATGAATGGCTCCTACCTTAGCGAGCCAGTGGCTTGCTACTGCTCTGAATTTTGGAGGTTAATACTACCAGAAAACCTGTGGAAATCTTTTTACCGAAACCTTGAGATTCTGAAATCATTTGTTACTTACAGTTTTTCGTAGGAACTAGTAAAATTAAAGGCATCTTTTCCCCGCTCGCTTGTGTTTGGGCTTGCGGTCCCTTTGGTGAGAGCGACAGCTCTCTACCAGCTGGCTTCGTTCTTTCCTTTTTCGTTCGACTCCGTTAAAGTGAGCAGGAGGAGTGCTTCTCGGTGTAACTTCTGCATTCCTGACCAGCTTTCAGCACTTCTCGTTGGGTGACGGTGGGGTGAATCCTCTTCAGCTTTTGTTGGGCTTCTTGTGTGATACTGTAGCTGCTCCTAAGCTCTCAAAAATCACAAGGCTGGCTTAAAATTAATGTCTTAACAGTAGTGCGTTTTGAGTTCTCTTGCCTTCTGGCCTTTTATCCTGTAAAATTCACAATGCAGGATTTACCTGCGTAAGCAAAGGCTAAATATTTGGCGTTACGATTCTTTGTGAGTGTTTGTTCTTAAATGAAAAAACTGGGGGGGGGGGGGTCTTGTGTAGTCACGGGATTCCAGGGAACAGGGCTTTAAGGCAAGCACACATGTTTTAAGTTCAAATAATACGGACGGTATTAGCACGGCACTTACTCTAGGCAGGCAAAGTGGCAGAGAAACCTGTCTTGGATGGGAGGAATCCTTGGTAGGAAAAGGTTTGGCGAGAAAGCTGCTGCACCCGCTTTTTGCTGCGCGGTGCTGCCTTTGGTTTCCCCAGGAAGAGCCCGCAGTAGTTCCCTCCGTGTTTGCGCGTGACGAGCTGAGAGGGAGCGGTTGGGAAGGAGCGGTCTGGATCATTCGTGAAACGGTTTGCATAGATCTGCAGAAACCTTTCGAGTGCTGAGGTGCCACACGTTAAATTCAACCTCACGAGTGATACATCATGCAGCTCATGAGAGTCAGCCAAACAGCAGCTGGCTACGCTTGTAAACTTGATTGTAAAAAGACAGCAATAAAAAGCGCCTTTCGGTTTCAGTGGTTGCCTTAAAAAAAAAAAAAAAAAAAAAAAGCGCGGTGCTATTTTTAGGTCTCTTTGAACATATGAATATGTTTGGCTGGTCCTACTGGCCTGAGGAAAACAAAATTCTGAATAGGTATTAGAAACCGTTTGCTTCAAAACAAACCCTTATCCGTTGCAGGCACGATTTCTTTCTGTGTCTTGCGTATATGTCTTCATCTTGCTTCTTGAAATGATCTCATAAATTTCAAGTCAAAATGTATTAAAACGCTACGACTTTTTTCTGCCTGTTTCAGTGGGAGGTGAAACGCTTCTCTCCCCGCTCCCCCAAAGAAGCGCTTTTTTTTTTCCTAAGGAGGTTTCCTTTCTTGTCTTAAAGTTATTTTGTAAGTGTGTTTTAAAATGAAATCAGTAAGTCTACAGATTTGTTAAAATAACTCTCCCTAGACTGGGTAACAAAATATCTTAGACAGCTGACCCCGTGAGTGTGTGTGTGTGTATTCCTCTTTTCTATTAACGCATTAAAAAATGAAAATCTGTATTGAGTAGATGACAATTACGGTGCTCTAGTCTGGTGGTTTGTTCAAGCAGGCGTTTTTTTCTTGAGTGATCTTAGAAATGTATTTTCTTTGCATCTTCACGGTGAAAATGTTTTAACATTAAACATGTTAAATACTTTTAGCATGTTGCATTTGCTGCTTATCGTTTAATTGTGGAGGTTAATTATGTGCAGTTTATGCTTCTTGCTAATAATCTGTAATGTCTTTTAACAGACAAAATATAGTACGGTTGACTTCCTGTAAAACTTTATTTAAAAAGTGCATTTGTGCCAGGGCAGTGTTTGCCCATGGGGGGTTTTTGCGGGCAGCCTTTGAGGAGCTGGATGCCTTTTTGGAATAGTCTCTGAAATGTAGCCCGAGGGTGGGTAGAACAAGGTTTTCCAGAAAGGAAAGCAGATCTTAGTCGTATTGCCTTTCAGGGACAACTGTCATGCCTGGATTTTACTTTGTTAGTGAATATCACAGCTGGCGTTTTGCATCCCTCCTCCTGAGAGCGAGTTAGGCGGTCCGCTTTGCTGCGCGCGGGTTTGACCCGTGTCACTTCATTCAGTCCAGCTGGCCAAGCTCTGCGGCCTGTACCGTGCAGGGGGGGTTGATTTGTTTCATTTGTTGGGGCTGGTTTTCTTCCCCCTCATCTCCCTTTCACAGGTAAAGTCAGCGAAACGTTCCTCAGTTCCGTGAGGGAAACCTTAAAGGACCAGCTAAACAGCCTGTTCTGCTCAGGTGCAGTTTACTCCGTTTCTCCTTGAACAGAAGCCTCCTCCTGCAAACTAGTGCTTGTTGCGGAGGACTCTCTGGTAGCTCAGTGGACCTGGTGTTTTTAACGAGTCCCAGTGACGTTTCATTGTTTCATGATTTCTTCTTCATTTAGCTGAATGTGTTGATATGCTTTGGATGGTCTTGTTGATGTACGCCTGGACGTTGGTAAAGACAAGAAAGATGGGGGAAAGGCTTTCACGAGTGAACAATCTGATCAGTCCTCCCTCCCTCCGGTTATGGCTTAGCACTGGTCTGATTCTTCCCTCAGTGCCTTCTGAGTTAAACCTTCATTTCTTCTGTGTGTGCTGTAACTCAGCTTTAACTCTGCAGTAAGGACGAAGCAGTGTTTAATGTGAGAAATCTCCTAACAAAATAATCACTAGTACTTTAGGAAGAAAAGGGGAATCCATCTCTTGGAAGCAGGTTGGTGCAATGATGGCAGCTTTGCTGGTGTTGCCTCCTACGCCAGTTTTGCTCTTGACTGCATTGGAACTGGGATTTCAGTCCAGGCTTATTTGACTGTAAGAGTTGCAGGGTCATGTTTGCCTCATAAGCCAAGGGATGCATACAGGTCCCGTTAACGAGAAAGCTGAAGTAGCCCCGTTAAAGTTGCAGGCATTTCACTGGTATAAATCTAGGGGGAGAGAGAGAGAGTGCAGAGCTTGGTGTTAGTTGTGTGAGTGTGTATTTTGGTTTAGGAAGGAAAACACTGCCTGGCAAAGGAAGAGGAATCAGAAAAGGTCAGCGGTTTTGGTACTTGTAACAATTTGACCATCTTTTCTAGTGTGACCTTTCTTCAATAAATTTCCAGTACATAGTCCCCCACCCTTGTCCTCTCCATTAATTGCACTTTGATATAAGAGTTTGCCTCGTTTGCTGAGACATTTACAGTAAATAAAGGTTAACAGTATAGATTTTTTTTGAACAGCAGGCTCCAGACATTTAAATGTGTCAGACCCAATGATAAATTGATGTAATCGCTAATAATGACATACTAAGAAGGGTAAGTACCTTAAGAGTTCAAGAGGGATCCTGTTCTTGCAACTTCTCAAGTATCCCTGCCTGATTTCAGCCTTTGGATCTCTGTGGGGCTAGAAGAAGGGTGCCAACTTAACAATTCTTTCAAATTGACAAATTAGCCTCCTTTAAAAAAAATAATAAAATAAAGCCCATCTGTTTTTGTTCTGTTTTCCCTCCTTCAGGTCCGACGATGACAATGCAGATGACAGGAGTTCCAGGGTGACCAGACTTTGCACTTACTTTCAGCAGAAATACAAGCACCTCTGCCGCCTGGAGCGGGCAGAATCTCGTCAGAAGAAATGCCGGCACACACTCCGGAAAGCCTTGCTGCAGGCGGCCAGCAGAGAGCCGGAACGTGCTGGGCAACTGATACAAGAGCTCCGAAGAGCTACGTGTGGCCGTACCAGGTTAGACCTTTCTACACGACAGCAGTAACCTAAGCTCAGGGCAGGGTAAAGATACTGAGCAAAGTATTCAGCAACTGAGGTTGCAAAAATGTTGAACTCTGAAACTGGTAGCCATGCACCAGGCAGAGCAACCATGACATATAAATGCCTGTCAGCAGAGGACAATAAACACAGCATACTGTGTTTTCCATGAAGACAGGCATTTTTCGGCTTTTTTTGTGTTACAAAATGGGGATTGTTTGTTCAGCAGTACCTGGGCCTGGTTTCTTAAATGCTATGTGGTAAGTTTGTGGCCCACTGCAGTTATTTTTTGTTAATTAGTCTATGTATTATGGCTGGCTCCAAACGTCTGGCGCTTAAGTCCCATTCCTTAAAAGGTGTGCAGTCTGGTGTGCAGATCACCATTGCAATTCAGATTTCTTTTTTCCAACAACTTAAAAGAAGGAGGGAAAAAAAAAAAAAGTCTGTACCTCCTCTTAGTTCTCCTCCCAGCAAATCACACTTAAGCTCACATTTTTTGTTAGGTTTAACTCAATCTCGCATTAAATGAAACTCAACAAGAAAATAAATACCTTCTAACAACTCTGAAGGTTACCTTCTGTGGGAATTCTTTCTAGATAATGTCAACATCCCTCCAGCTCCTGACATACTTACTGAGAGTTGGGTGATTCATATTTATAGAGATGCAGAGCGAGTCCAAGCCCTGGCATTATGTCTGGGGTACCAGCAGCAGCTTCCTTCTGCTGTTCTGGTTTTGCTTTACAGGACATGTGATTTTGGGGGTTGGGGAGGGCTAAGGTGAAAGAGGCAGGCTGGAACAGGCTGCTGAGAGTATATTATGTTTCTGGGATGCTCCTGTTCCTGGGCAGTGAGCTGTGGTTCATGACATTTGAAGGGTTTGGTGGGAAGGTGGTGTGATGCTGGAAGAGCTGCTCAGAGGTATAACGAAGAGGTAGATTACTGGTTTATGAAGATGCATAAACCTCTCTAGACTTAAACTACAGCAAAAGCCTTGCCAGAATTGGCAAACTCTTGCTGGGTTTTTCATTGTTAGGGCATTTTTATTGCACAAAAAGAATAATTTGTTTTGGATAGACTGGCAAAGCCAGGAATACCTGTCGTTGCTGCCCTGGTTAAATTAAGTAAACAGAGTCTTTTGAGTTATAAAGTGTTTATGGGTAATGTCACTAACTAAAACTTTGCTCAGTCAAAGTGCAGTTGATGACAGTAATGGCTGAAGGAAAACAGACAGGCTGCAGAAAGCCTTTTGTCAACCTAGAAAACAACATGTGTACAGAGGTGAAATTCAGCCCTGGGATCGCCAGCTTTGTCTACACAAAGGTGACAAATGCCTCGAGAGCAGGCTAACACCAAGCGAGCTGTGTAATGCTTGCAGTACTCATCCACACTGCTGGCTGGTCGCCTGCTTGCAGCTCAGGCTCAAGGCACTGAGGCTGTGCTGAAGAAGCGCTCAGCTCTGGGCACCTGCTGGTGGATTGGGCTGTAGCACGTTGGTGAGGAAGAGCTTTTACCCATGTTGAGCACGCTCAGGCTCTGCCACTCCAGAGCTCAGTCTAAGTTTGTCTGAGCACGTGCTTGCATGTGAACTCTGGGGATGCTCGGCATGTCTTGATTTATGAACAGGCTTGGAAACGCACCTGACTGCCCGTGTAGGCATACCCAGTACATCCTAGTCTAAAGGATGACCTTATTTTGAGGGTCACCTGTGAGGACACTCACCTGCTGCTGTTCTCGGCTCTTGCAGGGTGACGTAGTATTTACGTGGTAGCAGCACACAGCACCTCTCATTACAGTTAAGGCCCTGTTGTGTTAGATGCCGAAATAAACAATAATCCTGTTACTGCAGTCGCACCTTCACCTGTCATTGACATCTATTCTGTATCCCTGTTTAGAGTGTGCTAATTCTGTGCACCTGTCTGGATCGTGACACACACACGTGTGTTCAAATGTTTCATCCTGCTGTGCCACATCCAGTAGCATAGTTGTGCTAGATACCTCCTGGAACTCGGCTGTTGACCCCAGACTCTCTTTTGCTTTTGTTTCAGCACAAGCCAAGCCAAGCAGAGAGATGCAGAACCAACAACGTGTAGTGGGACTTCGAAGGGTGAACAGTGCACTAACAAGGCTCTTCCGTTCACCAGGCATTGTTTTGAGCGTATCCTCTTAACTCCCTTTGGGAGTTGTGTTCAGGAATGGAAACGTTTGCGTTTTCGGCGGTTTTTTGTTGTTTTTTTTTGCATTGACAAGTACGGTATCGCAGAGAAAAACCTATTTGTTAGCATCTCGTTAACTATTTTGCTTTTAATTTTACTGTGTGATATGGGTGCTGTAGGCAGTGATGATAAGTAGTTTGTTACTGGTTTCTATCATAGTCACGTTATTGTGTTTTCATCAGCTGCAGTTTGTGTGCTAGAAGCCTCTATGAAAATGACCCTCTCTTTCATGAATGACTTGCCGCGTACCCCATGGCTTTCAACGACATGTCTTTCAAACAGTTCCTGATAGCGTCCAATAAAATAGCCACCTGTGAAGTTTGTGGGAACAAGGGATATCACATGGTTTAAAAAATGTGACTTAGACTGACTGGAAAGATGGAAATCTGATATCCTGCGTTGTTTGAAGAAGCAAAAGAGAAGGGATCCCTGAATCCAACTTCTAGGTGAGGAAGAACCCAGGGTGCCAGGGATTTCAAGAAACGTCTGGAAAGATGCAAAGAGCCCATGCATGAAGGTCGCAAAAAGGAGGGAGCGCACTAGACGTAAGATTTGAGTCTGAAGACTGTAGAAAGACCGACCTCCTGCCTGGAATGCTTAGGAGTTTTGCAGACTTTATTTTTTAGCTGATAGCCCGTTTCCTCTTACTGGAGCTTTCACTGTTGCTGTTTGAAGTGACTAGTGCTTTTCTGTTCCAGTTGCTCTCAGAGAGCAGCACCTTTTTAGTCTTTTTGGTTTGCACATGCCTTGCATTTTTGTTTTGAAGGTGAAGAAGCTGTGTGATGAATTCCCTGACAAACAGGCTGTTTGATTTGTTGCAGGCCCCATAGAGCTAGTGTGCAGAACAATTCAAAACCACTGTATGAGTGCGCACTGTGGCGTGTACGTTTGTTTGGTAGTTCATTAGGCTCCTGACTTTGTTTTTTTGAATTTTTTTCTTTTTAAATTTAAGCTGCCTTGCTTGTCAGTGTGTGTACGGTAGGGAAGTCAAGGATAGTTATTTTGCATTTCAGCCCACTTTATTCCCTCTGTACTTTCTTCTCCATTAAAACGGTCTTTTCTAACATGAGCGGACTCTTGGCTCTGGCCCATCCCTCCAAATCTTTGCCTTCTGCAGGTTTTCTGTTTACCTTTCATCCTTTCTTTTGCATTTTTAGCATTTTCTGAACGTAACGTAGGGATGTTGAGGTTAGAATCAGCCTGAGAACTGTTCAAGATGGAAGGAGAGCTTCTAATGTTGTTTGAAAAAAAGCACAATGAAATATCTCTTTGATTTTTCTCTAAGTCTAGAAACATTTTCACTCCTGCAGGGGATTTTTCTGAAGGAAATCTCAGCAAGCTTACGTTTGGATTTACTTGACCTTTCTGTCTGATTGCACATCTTTTTTCAGAGGAGCAGGAAGGATCTCGAAACTTCTTTGTCTGTGCTCTAAAGATAAATGCCAAGAATGTACCTTAAACGATGGAATTAAGAAATACTCTTTTCTTTAATGTTTCAGTATGGATTGTCATTAGTCTGTAAGGAAATAGTCCTGTTGACTATGCTGCTCCAACTGGTACTATTGATCTATTGATTAAGACTCCAGGAAAAGGTTTCTTTTTGCTAAGAACTCATTAGTGAAATAGCTGCTTCCATAAAACCATCTCAATATGTAATAAAATCATTAGAGATTCTGCATGAATGCAGTTTTTCACTTTAAAAGTCAGGTTTGAGCGTTACCTAGCTTTGAACTTGAATAACAAAGTTAAGATACTCATTAAAAGTAGCATCTATGGACAGATGAGAGTTGAAGGCTCTGATCTTTATCAGGCTGATAAATCAAAGGGCGTTTCTCTATCGTTGCCTTGTGTGTTATTCCTGATGCAGAAATGCACAGATATCTTACTGAACCGTTCTCAGCAGCTCTTCTCGAGTTGCACAGCCAAGTTTGCAGATGGTCAGCAGTGCTCTGTGCCAGTTTTTGACATCACACATCAGACACCTCTGTGCGAAGAACATGCCAAAAAAATGGTAAGTACAAAGCCAAAACTGTAATTATTTCTATGGATTGGAACGATGAAGAATTTTAATCCCAGTCTTTCTATGCTCTCCTGGTTGCTAACTAGCAAGTGTACAAACTTAAGAGTCCATTTCCTTATGTTTTTCTTAAGTGGGTAAAACATTCCTAATTAGTATAAAGTATGTTGTAAAAAATCTCTTACATACTTTTGGGGATATAATAAAGTGTGCCCGAGGATATGTTTTGCTGGAAGAAGAAATCAGACTCCTCTCCTGAATCAAGAAACAGAAAAGCTTTTGCAAGTGATCCTGTGGTCAGTTTATCTGGGTTCGCTCATGGCCCTTAGATCTGAGTACAGTATGAGTGTGGTATGTCAAAAGCAGTGTTTCTCAAACATTTTTAGTTCGTGGGGCCCCAGATATTTTCTAGAGGAAATGTAGATAGCAATTTTAAGCACATTGATAACAGTTTTGCTACTTTATTTGCCTTTAGATGACTATGAAAAGTTGTCTCTGGATCTGTGGATCCCAGAGGAAAAGCAGTGGCCTACTAGAAGTCGAGAGTACCTAGAAATTGGGATGGCGTCATCTCAGTAGTGTAGCACAAACCATCGCATTTCAACCCACAATTGTATGGGCTTTTTTTCCTTCCTTCTCCTAGGCAATCTTCACTGCGTCTCTGAAAAGATGTGCTCCTGTAGCCCATAAAATCCTTTGCCATTCCCAATGTAATTGCAACTGAAAATTGATGGCCATTTGCTTCATTTTATAGTTGGCCAGCAAGTTGCCCTTCAGAAGCGATGAAGCCTCAGTTTTGCACCCACATCCCTCACAAGCCCCTATTCCTATAGTATTAACTCCATTTCTGCAGTGCTCTCCATCTTTTGTAAGACTGGGCAGCTGAGGATGCTGGCTTCACCTGCTACTCACTGTCCCCATTACTGCCAACTTGCAGCAGTGTTCTTCTGTTTTTAACGCTTACGGGAATACCATCAAAGGTTACAGTTGTGCAGTGACTTATTTAGGGATTACTGGTTTTACTGATTTTTAAAGTGACACTGCAGGATCACATATTGATTATACTTCCTAATTTGGCCCAGATGTTCTTTGCCATGGGGATCAATAAGGAAGGAAGCAACTTAATTTTTGCGTCCTTGCTTGGATGAAAGTTAGCAGTTAGTTCCTCTGGCATTATGCGTGACTGTGTTTTGAGTGGAATGGCTAGGAAGAAAAATAAGGAATATTTGTTCTTAATGTATTCCCTGTGCTACTGTTTTACCTCCCAAAGGACAATTTCTTGAGAGGGGACAGCTCCCGTAAAGTTCAGCACCAGCAGCAGAGGAAACCCAGGAAAAAAACAAAGCCGCCTGCACTTACCAAAAAACACAAGAAGAAGAGAAGACGAGGCCCACGCCGGCCCCAGAAACCCATTCCTCCTGCAGTGCCCCAAGGGAACCTCACCATGCCTGCCAGTGTCTCACTGCCAGTAGAGTTGTCCCACATACGGTCAGTGGCAGCCCTGCCCCAGTCTGCTCACCAGTAGCTTGAAAACTGTGAATGAGTACTGTAGAAAGGTGTGATGTTCCTGTGCTGATCAGCCTCTGGACAAGGAGATAGTTCAGGGATGGAAATAGTATTTCCATGTGATTCTCTAGATGATGTAGGGGAAAAAAAAAAAAAAAAAGCATGTTGAGGGGAAACATCCATTACGGATGGATGTTCATTCATAGTTGTCACTTGGAGGAATTAAAGCTGAATGCTGGGACTAACAGTCCTTTTTGTCCAGGAGCCCCTCCACACCAGAGCTGAGTGCCGATGAGCTGCCTGATGATATCGCCAATGAAATCACAGACATTCCACATGACTTGGAATTAAATCAGGAGGACTTCTCTGATGTCCTGCCGCGGCTGCCTGACGACTTGCAAGATTTTGATTTCTTTGAAGGTACCACTTTATTTTATGCTAAAGTGAGCACAGACAGTGAGCTGAAGAAGTGAGTATTTCTAAAACACGCATTTTGAGGAGTTGCTTGCTTTTCCACACAGGTAATAACTTCTAGACAAGGGAGCATGCCTTTACCCTATTGTTTGTTTGTGAGCTCTGAAGAAAAGCAGACTTTAAGAAGATTGGTGTGTGTGTGTGTGTGTGGGTAGTTCTCTGCTTGCTCTTGTAATTAGTGCTCTGGAAATCCTAATTGGTTTAGCATTTCAATAATTCATTTTACATTTTTTTCTGCCTGTCACTGTTGCAGTTTAATCAAGCATACTCTCAGTAATGGCATCTTTCTGCCATCGAGTGGGGCTGGAACCACAGTCAGTGCTGGCCTTTTATCAAAGGAGAAGAGAGTGAGATCTTTAAATACACTTTTGAAACTTGCTTTTGATCAGAACTGTGCCTGAATTTCTGGATTCTAAAGTTCAGTACCTATCACAGATATCAAAGCTCAGAACAGCCCAGAGTTGGGATAGGTGTTTTTTTCTCTTTTTTAATTTTTATGAACTAACATGACATCAGATTGAGTCTGACTCTAAATTAATCTAAGTTCTACTGATTGTGATGTGATAAGTAGAAAAGGCTTTGTAGACTATTCAGATTATTACCGCATTGGAGGAAGTCTTATTTAAGCATTTTTACTTTAAGTCTGGGAGACAACTTGTATTATGTGGAAGAGGAGCGGGGAGAGAGAGATTTCTATTGAAGAGGATGGTTTAATTTCTAGTTTTTGCTACCAGGCTCACCTAGTGAACACTGGCGAAGGAAACTTTCTCTTTACCGTGAGATAGTCCAGAAGCTTATCACGCTCTGCAGTTCTCTACTGAACAATGTGTCACCTCTGCCTCTCAGAGCTCCAGTGCTGGGCTCACCTTAGAAGAGCGCTCTAACTGCTGGTGTCCCTGTTTCTGCAGGTAAAAATGGAGATCTCCTTCCTACTACAGAAGAGGCTGAAGAACTGGAACGGGCCCTCCAGGCTGTAACCTCTCTTGAGTGCCTGAGTACCATTGGCGTACTTACACAGACAGATGGTGTGCCAGTTCAGGAGCTGTCAGATAGAGGGATAGGGGTGTTCTCTACAGGTGCTGGAGCTCCAGGAATGCAGTCCTTGAGTCGAGAGGTTAACACGGATCTGGGGGAGCTGTTGAATGGGCGTATAGTACATGATAATTTCTCCGGTCTGGAGCTGGATGAGAACTTGCTCCGTTCTGCTACCTTGTCTAACCCACCTACGCCCCTGGCAGGGCAGATCCAGGGGCAATTCTCAGCCCCAGCCAACGTCGGCCTTACTTCTGCCACTCTGATAAGCCAGAGTGGCCTTGGGGAGAGAGCCTTCCCAGGACAGTTTCATGGACTTCATGATGGCAGCCATGCCTCCCAGAGGCCCCACCCTGCCCAGCTGCTGAGCAAGGCAGATGACCTGATCACCTCACGACAGCAATACAGCAGTGACCATTCACACTCCTCACCCCATGGAAGCCATTACGATAGTGAGCATGTGCCGTCTCCCTACAGTGACCATATCACATCCCCTCACACCACATCCTTTTCTGGTGATAACTTGGCAGCTACCTTCTCAGCAGAGATGCCCATGATGGCACAGCACTTGCTCCCAACTCAGCTGGATGTGCCACTTAGCGGGGTGGTCAACCCCAGAACTCACTGGGGAAATCTTCCTGTCAATCTTGGGGACCCCTCTCCGTTTAGCAACCTTCTCGGTGCAGATGGACACCTCCTGTCCACCTCCCTGTCCACACCACCTACCACCTCGCACTCAGAGACCACACAGCCTGCCTTCGCCACTGTGACCCCCAACAGCTCCAGTGTGCTTCCGGGGTTACCGCAGACCAGTTTTAGTGGCATGGGTCCTGCCTCTGCTGAACTCATGGCCTCCACCTCCCCTAAACAACAGCTCCCTCAGTTCAGCGCAGCCTTCGGGCACCAGCTGAGCTCCCACAGTGGCATCCCCAAGGACCTGCAGCCCAGCCACAGCTCCATAGCTCCTCCCACGGGCTTCGCAGTGACCGGTGCCACCGCTACCAGTACCAATAACGCATCTGCGCCCTTCACCACCTCCAACTGAGCTTGTCTGCCTGGCTCTGTGCAGGTAGATGGGGGACCTGTGTTTTCTATCTTTCCGTTTTTTCCTTTTTCTTTCTTTTTTTTTTTTTTTTTTCCCCTCTGTCCTTCCCTCCCCCTTTTTTAAGAGGGGGTTAAGAAGAAAACCCCTGCTTCAGTACTGACCAGGGTTAGCCCTCTGTGAACCTTGCTATAGCGTTCACATGTGCTTGTTACGCACCGGTGCTCATTTATTGCAGGCAGGTTCACCGTTCCCCAATAATTCCTTAAGATACAGCACAGTTACTGGATGTAATTGATCTTAGCAGTAAGACCTAGAAATGGGAAGATACCTCAGATTACCGATGCATGTTACTGTTTCCTAGGGTTCGGATCAGTGCTTGCCATCCCATTAGCATCTGGTAGGAAGTTTTCTAGTGGGCAGAAGTCTCTTGATTTTTACTTTTTTCCAAAGGTAGCATCTGGCATGGAAAATTTGACTGCACGCATTGATTTGAGAATGGTGCGTTGAAGTCCTAAATCAAGACCATGGTTCAAAGATGAATTTTGACAGTTTCTTAAAGTAGTCTCTTGACCTCCTCTGTGTGCGTGTGTGTGTTTGGAGTGCAGGGAGCAGCAGTTCCTTTTCTTATTTTGTTGAAGAAGTGGGAGTCGTCCCCTTCCAGAACTGGTCATTGTTCTTACTGCATGCTGATTTTTATTTTTGATTATGATGATTTTTAATTCATTGAGCAGCAAGGGGATCAGTTGACTGGTTGCCCAGAAATCTGAAGGCTGATGCGAAGTTAGCCCAGGGAGAAAAGACAGCAAAACAGAAGGACTGAAACAAATCATGGTGTAGTGAAGATTCCTGTGCAGAAATTCCCTCCCTTGCTGAATTACTGTGGCCTTGTAGCGTTGATGATTTGCCTTTTGAAATGTGGCTTTGTCCAGAACTCCTTGCCTGACAGGCTGACAGGTATTTCCCAGCTGAAACTGGAAGAATTCTCTTGGTACTCTGCCATCCACACAAGTCTAGGTCAGACCCTTTGGTAAGTTTAACATGGATGCATTTCTCAAATTATGTCTAGCTACTGAGACTGTCTCGAATAGCTTTTTTTTTTCTTTTTCTTTTTCTTTTTTTTTTCCCCTCTGTGAGCCATAGAATTTTTGAGACATGTGTGGGATTTGATGCTCTGTATGCGAAGCTGAATGGACATAAGGTTCTGGCAGGTACCTATCGGCAGTCATGGCTAACCAAAAGAAAAATCACTGAAGCAAAATAGGGAGATAAGAATTCCTTCTGTCTGCAGGACTATTTTGCTTTTACTGCCTACCTGCTAAAGATCATTCTCAAACTCTGGTAGTAATTTCAGTTCTTAAAGAAAGGAATCCACTACCTTTTATAAATTTTATTTTTTTATTCAAGGAGTAAGAGCAGCAGAAACCTTGAGGTGTTTAATTGCATCTCTGTATCAGGAAGGGAGAAAAGGAATTTGCTTGTGACTTTGTAGGGCTCAAACTAGCTACTGTACTCCAAGATGTTGCCTGTAAAAGTACAGACTGTACTCCTATTTGATGAATATAACCAGTCTCTACTCTTCTTGGCTTGCTTCTGAGATGCGGATGAGAGAGAATGGGAAGGAAAAAAAGAAAAACACACACATTTCAGTCTCTTACTGTTGAAGACAGATTTCATTCCACCTTACAGTAAAAAGTCCTACCTGCATGTAATCTAGTCTAATTCAGAAAATTAAGAGATGCCGAGCACATGTAATAGGGAGGCCTAATAACTTGTTTGAGCGAGGGAACATTGCATTAAGTTTAGTTGCTATAGAAATTCATTTTGTTAGCAGTCAGGCCCACACCAAAATCTCTGACCCAAACCTCTCCTTCCATCTTGCGAAGGAACAGAATTTAGGTGGGATAGACCTTGCCTCTGGTCGCTATCATAGCAATTATACTATCCCCTTTTCTGGAAAGATTTGTCCTCCTTAAATATAAAGGAGTATGGATGATGCATATGTCCTTTTCGGAAATTGCAAGTGTATGTGGGTGGAGGAGACAAAAATGATTTTTCATGCTTCTGTTGTTATGAAGTCCTTATTTCATACTTGGTAAAATAGATCTTAATAATATAAGCCGAATATTCTTAAATGGTGATTTAAATATGTTTGTAACATTTAAATGTTTTTAAATCATGTAAAAAGTTGAAATGAAGCCTAAGAAATCCTGCTTGTGATTGTCCTGCTGATTTGAGGAATGCCCAGTGGTATTGTGAAATGAGGCAAATCTGACAAGGCATTTATTTATTTTTGTATTATGTTCCCCATGCTTTGTTGAGGAGACAATTGTTTGATTTGCAAATGATTTTCGTTGTGTCCATATACTTTGGTCAATGTGTTTCAGATAACTGGCTGAAAAAGAGTGGAGAACTAGTTTACCAAATGGTTAATTCTTTAATCTGCTTGTGTATTCATGTCATTTTAGATTATATTAATTTCTATAAATCGGTTTCAGGATTTTAGTCTTGAAATGGTTCTTGCGCTCATCAGACACTCTAGTGAAGCTGCAGCTAGTGCAGGGTATGTTTGCCCCACAGCACGTTTCTCTTTTCGTAGCGAACGGCGGGGAGGGAGAGAGGGGAGAAGCTGAGAGCCAAATTCTGCTTGCTCGCATCCAGATAAGTTACAGAGGAGCTCTTTGGTCTAAGGTCACTGTGAATTTATACCAGTGTAACTCAGAACAGAACCCAGCCCTGATCTGATCACTGATATAGTCAGGGAATTTTGGAAACTGTCAAAGACACGCAGTTCACAATTCCCATTTGAAATCAGTGGCCGTTATGTAGCTGCATTCCTTTAAGACAGCGTAAGAAATCAGCTCTCTTCCTCCCACTTAGGCTTCAGTTTTGTATATCTCTTGATGACTTTTCCCTGAAAAGTGACTACATAGCATTTTTCAGTGAGCAAACTTAAGTTTGCAATGAAGCTGCACTTTTAAAAATAAATTTCCATGCGTATGCATGTGAGCGAGGAGGCCCTCTGTCCTGTCCGATACGGAGTTCTGAAATGGGCTGCCACTCTTGCCTTTTCCAGGTTCACCCCCCACGCTTTCACTGCCACTGATGTCATGGTTACAGCCTTCCAAGCAGTTACGGGTTTTGATCTTAGATTCAACCGGGTGGCTCATTCAGGCCGGCTTCTATAGCCGCACAACCTATAGACTTCACTGAATCAATGTCTTAATGGTGGATGCGAGGGATCCAGTTAGGTATATGCGGCCAGAGATGTTTCACACCTCTTCCTCTGGGAAACGCTGCAGGTCTGCTTAAGGTAGTCCTTGAGGCTGCTTTACGGGGTTCCCTAATAGACGTCATGCTCTCGTGGAAAGGTTTCTGTGTATTATCCCCTCATACAGCAATTAGCACTCTAATTACCCTTTCGCCAAAGAGTCAGTGTAGCAATTTCAGTCCATTGATTTGAGATGGTCAATAACTGTCATGCCCCTTATGTGTTAACAAATGGAATAAAGCTAGTTTAACCTAGAAGTTAATTTCTTTTACGTAAGACTTGCGTTTTAAAGAATTGAAAAATATTAGACCTAGAATAAAATACCAGTAATGTCGTTTTTGATAATAGAAGCACCTCCATTAGTCCTTGTATGAAAACGTAAGTATTGGCGGGAGCGGTACTTAACACGAGATGAACTTTGGCAGCGTATGGAGGGGGCTGCTCAGGGTCAGCCTAAAGCTGGCCTGGTGTGTAAGACGTTCCGTAAGACTTGTTTGGATGTTTCCCCTCACTTAGGAAGGCATCATTATGCCAACTTTGAGGAGAGGTGTATGCACTTAGATACCTCGAGATAGATACGCTCCTTGGCCTCCTAATCACTATGATACAAGAAGATGAGTCCGTGATGCAAGAAGATGGAAAAGATGCATCGTTTTGTCTCCTTCTGCCTTCTAGTTCCTCCCGATTTTTGCTTTGTTGTTCCCTTCTCATTGATAGTGTTGCTTATCTTACATTTGGGCATAGTGAAACATTTACATTGATAATGCTGAGAAGTAGCATACTCTGCCTAATGCTCTGGGGGGAAGATTGTGCAACAGCTGCACTTCCCACTTAATTCAGTAGGTCAGTGAAGTGAGGATTTGTAGTTCTTGTTTGAAAAGCGTTGGAAGGCCCTAAGAAGCTCATAACCTGTTAGGCAAAATATCAATGATAGCATTGCGAGTACAAATGCAAGAAAAAAATGTCAAAGAGCAGCCCTCCATACTAGCAAAGAGAGGCCAAGGGAAGCTGCTTTTTTTTTTTTTTTTTTTGGGGAGGGTGTATGTGTTTGTGTTTTCTTTTAGTAGCAGCTTTGTTACTGAGTACATGAGTTTCTGTCCCTGGATAACACTCTCAGCTTCACCCTCGTTTTGAAAAGTGGGAAATTCTGTTCTGGGCTGCCATGTACAGTGGCGCCCTTAGCTTCAGGGGCGCTGCCCACCTAGGATGCAACCCACAAACCCGTATTAAAATTTGGTTTGAAGCTTCATTTTGCTGTAACCACATCCAAACGCATGTGGTTTGAATCTGCTTGCTGGGAAAAAAAGGCTCTCACAGAGGGGTAAAATAAAACCTGTGAAGATGTCTTCACTGACACGTGGGCCCTGGCGATTAATACATGGGTTGTTAGTCTGCTTGTGAAATTACCGACTCCTACCTGCAGGACTGCAGCATCGCGGGAGCTGCGTTTCCCTGGAGGCATCGGTAGAGCTCCAGAAATACTTCACCCAGCCTTTGTGCTGCAGCAGGCCGAATCCACAGCTGACTTCTCAAACAGCATGAGCGTTTTGGGCAAGGGGGAGGGAAACGTTTCTAGAAGAGGCAGCTACCTTGAATCTTTCACGACTTGTGGAAAGCAGGGACGATGGCAGAAGGTGTTTTCAGCAGACAAACAGCGAGGCTCTGCGGCGAGGCGTTTCTGTGGGTGTCTGGGCAGCTTTCCTTATGGGATGCTTCTGTTCGCTCCTGTGTTTTTATCATCGCATGTGAAGGAGCCTCCTGTGCAGGCCTGCCGCGAGGTCCAGTGGTGATGGAAGCATTAGCCGAAAGAATAGGTTTGGGCTATTGTGCTGATCGGATCTCTTCACAGGGCCTTTGCTTTTCTTTTTTTTTTTTCTGATCTCTTGGGTGACGTTTAATAGTGGGTAATTGAAGAGGGGTGTTGTGGGCTGCTCCTCTTATCTCCTGTGTTTCCTTCCTCTCGACACTCTTCATCACTCTTTTTTTATTTTCCCATTCTCAGATACTTCTCCAATGTAAGTAATGCCAACCTGTAAGTCTTCTGTGGCTCGGTCCTGAGTGAAATCTGACTGTAAAACGAAAAGGAGGAGAGATTGCTGCAATTCATAACATACATTTTGGATGCTAGAGCGACAGTGCAATAGATCAAAGTGTTTCTCAGCTCAGTGAGTAAGATGATGTTTCACATCACGCTAATATGTTGTGAACTAGCTGCTGAGGGTACAACGTTGATCATGGGAGTGCACACGTTGGCAGTGAATGTTGTAGGCGTTTTTAGTGGGAATTTACCTTCTCACAGGTTCCTCTTATTTTAAGAAGCGCATCAGCAGAAAATCACCTGGAAAACTTTAGAATATTTCACTTATTTAAACCCTTCTTTAAATACCTGCGTGAAGAAGCCTAACTAAAAGTAAGAGTGATTGGTGGAAAGATCTACACTTGTATTCACTAAATTTAAACCTGGACTTTCGGCGAGGTCTGCTCATGAGAGACCTTAACTCTATCGGATGAAGTTTTGATTCTATCTTTAAAATTAGACAAAAACACTGTTGCTGGGAGAGAAGAGTTTGTGAGAGGAGGAACTGACAAAAGAAAAGCAAATGTGTCTTGGAACCATTTTCTCACTCAGGTCTTCAGCCATTTAAACAAAAGTAGTGACTGGGTTTGGGGAGCTTTTCCCTTCACTTGTCCCATGGGTGCTGGGTTCTTTGCTTTCCCCTGTTTTACTCTACTTTGCATTCTCCTTCTCTGGCTATTGTGGAATAAGGCAAGAGAGCGGAAGCATGAAAGAAGAAAATGGGCTTGGCTGTAGATTGGCAACAGTAGTTGGGGAAGGCTTTCTTTTTCTGACTCCTTGAAGTGTTGGTGTTACGTTTAGTCTTCCCTGGCTCATGGAATTCAGCTGAGGATGAAATCTAGGCTTTTGACTTTAAAACTGTATATACTCAATGTAGAAAACTGCATTCTTCATACTCGTCCCCCTTGCTAGCCCCCCCAAACACATGCACAGTGAGACAGTGGCAGAGTATGTGTGTATGAGCTGCGTACACATGCTGACCTTGGTCCAGTAGTGCTAATGTTTTACCCGCTTCCTGTCTTCATAAGGTGGTGCCCACTGAAGTGACCTCTGGGTAGGTAATGTTCTCAGATCTCCTCTGGAAAACTTTAACTTTGGTGCAGATTGCTCTAATGTAGCTAACTGCTATGCTATTTGCTTCTACTTTGGAGTGGACTGATTTACCCTGAAAAGACTCTCTAACCTGCGTCTTAAACAGTGTAGGTGGTTCCAGTGAAAATAGATTCATCCTGAAGTGATGGACAGTTGGATTCTCATGCAAAATATCTACATCCTGCTAGAAGGGGTTGAACCAGTTTCTCTGAACAGTGATTACCTTCACTGTACAGTTTTGGGTATGTCTCAGGGATTCCTTGTGGAAATAAGGGCAGTTAACAAAAAAAAAAAAAAGTAAATAGTTTTAAAAGTAAATAATAATTTAAGGTAGAGCGTCATCTAAGTGAGAGCGCAAGAAAGAGAAATCTTTGTTCAGTTTTGTAGTCCACAGTGTCTGGCTTAGGGACTCTTTCTCTTCTCGGGGCTCTCATCTCAAGTTCAACATACAGAATCTTTTTTCATCACGCTCAGCTTTAAACTTTTATTTAAAGATACCCTTCCCCAATGAGCTTTCAGAATACTTATTGTAGATTTTAAGAGAAATGGTATATTAATTTATGCTATTAACATCACCTCATAAATTATAAGTTTTATACTAAAGCTGTATTGAGTGTAATGAATTATGTTGCATATGTGTTTTTAATAGCTATAAAATTATATACAAGCTTTTTTGGAAAAACAAACTAGTGAAGCACCTTTTTACACTGGATCTTTGCCGTGTCAAGGTGTACAGCTATTCTTTGCTACCTTGCAGATATCTATATCTATATCTCTATATAGATATATATATATATAAATATAAATAAAATGGTATCCTGTATCAACAAAGCATAGAACTCTTTTTAACCCTTATATTACTGTTCCTATAAATCTTTTAATTTTATTTTGAGTGTTACATTCTGCAATAATTTATCCGTGGTTTGTACCTATGATTAGAAATTTAGTTACAGGGTAAATAGATCAAATTAAAACTCCAACTACTGTAGCTGGAAGTTGTGAACCAAGTTTGTAAGACCTTTTCTTTCTTAAATGTATTTATTTCCAGTTAGCTCTGTGAGTTGGAATTTGAAAAGTCAGAACATGAGGAATCTGCAGTGTCTTATTCAGGAATTTTTCCCTTCCTTTCCTCACAAAGGAATTCCCACTGTGACTTATAAATAGAATTAGACTGCTTGTGTGCATGTATGTATTATATATACACACAAAAAAATATGCATTGGGGGGGATGTCTGTGCGATACGAATGTGTATATTGTATGTAGGTCATAGTTTTGTAAAGAGAAAAGTAGTTGAGAGGTGATGGAATGTATTGTAGAAATGTGATTATTTAGTAGGGGGTTATTATGTCCTCACTGTTGTATAAATAACTCAAACTCTCTACTACATAATCTTCTGTTATAAGGCTAACTCTGATATCATGTCAATTTTACTCCTTTTTTTTTTTTTTTTTACATGAGTTGTGTTGAGCCCTGTTTAAAATGTCATGAAAATACCAAGCTCCCAAAGACAGCCTTTAATATAAAATAAATGGGGGCCCGGGGGAGATGGGAGAAATGAGTGTGTTTTTCGGGAGAAATTGAAATGGGAAGGTCTGTATTTGGTGGAATGGTGAGACATGGGAATTACTGTATCTTTGCAAATTAATATCTGACCCTCCTGTGGTCTGATGTAGAAAATGTTGTCAATCAGTTGTATTTGTGTTTTCAAATTAGGTTATAAGGGGCATTGTTTATGAACTGATCTCCCTTCTGTAACAGGATCTTGTTTTTTGGAATAGATTCTTTTCTTTCCTGAGGGTTTTTATGTGTGTATTAATTTTGCCCCCCAAATTGCTGTTGCGGGATTACAGAACGATATATACTTTTGATCCAGGGAGTTTCACTTGTGCTATGAAATTCTGGATTGGATGATGGCCACTCAATTTTTCTCATAATCGGAGAAGGAAGCTCTTTCTTTATAGGAGTTCTCCCTGGAAATTGTGAGAAATTGGAAACACTCTTACAGATTCCCTTACTCTCCTTATTATTCATCTGTTACAGCATTTAAGCTGGAGAAAAGAAAATCCTAAATGTTATATATTCATACCTTTATCACTTTTAATCATGATGAGCCTGGTGACTTTAAGATCTGTTTAGAAAAACAGAGCTTCCAGTATTGCACGGATATTTGAGTTTTTTGAAGGCTTTTTTTTTTTTTAAGCAGTTGCAAATCAAACTTTAATTTTTTTTATTTTTGTTTTTACATCCCTCTCCCTCCCAGTATGTTGATACCCCCCAGACATTCCCTCCCGCAAATCCCTTCTTGCGCATACACATACAAGTGAAAGGGCAGGGAGGTGGAAGTTGTCAGAGGCCTTTCCTTCTTGTTATTTGGTGGTAATGGGAGTTATCAACGTAATTCTTTATGCCTTTACGGGGAAGAATAGACCCGTTTTTGTGTATACCTGTACAGAGAGCTATATCTGTATATGAGATGTTGGTAGCACTTTGCTGAATGTGGAATTGCCCTCATGATGTACAATAAATACATATGAATGCAATCAATCTAAATCTATATATACATGCGTACAGATGTATAGATGGAATATACATACTATCACACACATGTACATTAGCTGTAACATGAATAAGTGTGTGAGCTAAAGAGAAAGACTGTCCGCAGTACCATATGTGTAACAGGTAAGCACTTGTGCCAAACAAGGTTGTTTTAATTCTTCTGAGGGGTTTGGATGACATCAGTGATTGATCTGAACTTTGGTCACCATTGATTTTTGTTACCTCAGCCCTCAAAGTGGAATTTCCTTGGTACGTTTTTGCTTCTGTTTATTCTATATTCCTACTCATTGAGGCCTCTTGCAATGCCGACCTCTTCTGCTTCTCTGCTCCATTGCTTCCATTCCAGCTCCTCCTGCCCCCGCATCTCCGAAGTTCATCTTGCTAGCGGTAGCCAGCTTTAATGGCCCAATCCAGCTGCTCTTATACACTACTAAAATTCTCTTGGTGACTGCAGTGGCAGCTGAATTGGGCCCCGAGGTCTTGCTTGAACTTGCTCAAAATTTTCCAGATATTCAATTGTGCTTGACTACGATTGTGATTGATTTGGTATGAAGACAACTTTTTTTTTTTTAAAAAGAAACTGATGCAAAGCTTCCTAGCATGTTAAAAGGCTAACCCAGCATCATGTTTTAGAGGTGAATATCCAAAAGGAGAGAAGCAGACACACTGGAAAAATCTTCAATTTTCAGCCCCAGGGAGAAACAGGGAGCTCGATCTGCGTGTTTCCCATGATGAAAGCTGTGAGCAGAGTGCAGTCTTGCGCTCTGTTCTGCGTGGTGGTGTTGGCATCAAATACATCAAGAGAAACACCCCTTTTCCATGTTAGACTTAAACAGATATTAAAAGGAGCTGTAGAACTGGCCATTAAGCAGACTTTAAAATGCTGCAGAGTTGACCATTAACATGCTAGTACTTTGCATCTTACTGTGTATTGAACGATTTTGCTTATGCGAGTGCATTGTGTTTTTTAAGTCTTTTCTGTTTCCTGGCTAAATGGGGCTTCCATGTCCTTTTAGCAGAAAGCAGCTGTCAGAAACCTGCTCAGTCACACTTAAGCACTGTTGAAACTCGTGCTAACTTATGCCTCAGTGTCAATGGAGAATGCCGTTCCAGTTCTGTCCTCCAGCCTTCTTGCATTTTCAGTATGGATGCGGCGCTGTTTTTCTTGGCCACAGTTCAGCCTTGCAATTTTGTCTTCCTTGCCTTTCTATTAGAAAGAGGTAACCGATGTCCTGTCCCAGCTGAGCTTTCATGCAGTCGTCCATGCAGACTTCTATAATACATATGTTTGGGCGTGTGTATGGGTATGTCTGTGTACTGTGTGTGTATAACACACATTTATATGCACACATATATTACGCTATTTCAGTTTGTGTTTGTGGAGAACGTGCCCATTGACTCTCTCCTGATATATACTCATGCATACGAATATTAAATATGTATATAGAGTGTAGATGTCCTGCATATACATGTGTATATGTTACGAATCTTGGTTGGCAGTTTTTTTTTTTTTTTACGTTTCGCAAATTGCTGTCCCTTACGGAATATTTTCACTGAAACTGCATTATATAGAAGAAATGGAGAAATGTGTTATCAAAGTTTTATTTTAAAAAGGAGACTCTTAATTACCTGAAGCCATTTGTAATTGTCTTTGACTTTTTCCTAGAAGGGTTGTTGTAAAACGCAAGCAGACAACCCCTTACTCCCACTGTCTGTTAGATGGACGTAAGAGAGGAAGGGAGACACAAGTTTCTGAGTACTTACTTCCTTCAGGATTTTCTGAGGCGTGCTGCAGTCATGTTCTGCCCCATCCCCCCTTTTGTCCAATTATAATTAATGATTCATAGTTTCTTTTACACAGCTTTCCCTCATTTCTTTACCTTCTTAAGTCATTGTTCACCTCCTGCATTTAACAGTCCTGGTCTCGCTAAGAAGATTTCATGTTCTGTCATTTCAGGAAAAAATATCAGTTCATCACTGTTATTGTTTCACATTTTAACATACTTTGTAGAGGATGGATTTTTTTCACCAAGTTGTCTGTAACAAGTCTTCAACTTATTTGATGCGAGAAGCCTTCGTTGGGATCTATTGTTTGTCTCCAAAGAGTTTCTGCAACTTTTTTTTCCACCATCACGTTAAGTAATTCCCTTCTGATTTGGTGCCTGGGGTTTCTGGGTTTGGGGGTTTTGTTTTTCAGTCCTTTTATCTGCAACTGGAGCAAAACAGATGCCACAGGCCCAACCAATATCCTTTGTGCAATTAGCAGTAAATATCCTTATCCTAGATTTGATTAAGGAAGAAGATGGCAGACGGACAATCTGAAGCGCGTGGAGGGAATGATCACTCTTCTCTAAGGCTGTCTCAGAGAAGTTTGTGTTTGGTGTCATTTTAAAGGTAGCTTGATCACGCTTTGATATCAGAAACAGCCTTGTAACAAAGAGCCTCGTACAGTTGTTTGGCCACCAGAGTTTCAGGTGTAAACAAGTTGCAGTGGGAAAGCAAAGGTGAGGCAGTGTATTTGGAACCAGTGAATTGTAGCTTGCAAACGTAACTGATTTTGAAGTAACTGCATGGTAGCAAGGATTAGCAGTCTCTTACACCCCTTCCTTGTGCCCTTTCATCCCTGACACCCGTATTCAGCAAACCATACATTGGGAAAAATAAGCAACTTTACAACAGCGAAGCTAAACCCACTTAATGACTGCTTAAAGGGAACATACAAACTTGCCCTGCCGCATCCTGTCTCGTGCCATTAGCTGGAAGACTAGCTAAGAGGCACAAAAAGCCCGGTCCAGTTTGCTTCTGCGGAGGTGCCGCCTTTGGAGAAGGGGATGCCCGAGGGCTTGGTGCGAAAGCCCCGGCGGCGGCAGCGGCTCGCAGCACGGCCTCTCGCGCGGGAGCGCTCCCGGACAGCATTCCAGGGGTGGGTAGGAAAGCTCGCGTTTGTACTTTCCCTTTAAATAGGAAAAGTTGGCTCACATGTTCCTCATACTTCTCAATGAATGTACTGTATTACCATTTAAAAAAAAAAAAAATCAATGAGATGATAATAGATTGGTCTCCTTTTGTTATCTGGTCCTTGTTTAATTTGTTTAAGGGTTTTTGTATACAAAAGTTTACATTTTTATGTATATTTTTCTTGTGTACAAACTGATGTAATATGTGTATAAAACACTGTATGTATTATCTGTATATAGTGTGACAAAATGATTTTCTTTCTTTCTTTTGGATGTATTAATAAATCTTGCTGTGAAGTAGCTGTGTTTATTATGGTGAAACCCTCTTTCCCAAGCCATTCTGCTGAGTCCAAGACGTATGAATGTTGCCCAGGCTGAAATCTAATCCAGAAAGAGATTTTTTTTTTTTATGGAGCCCAAGTACAGTTATTAAACTGTTCTTTGCTCAGATAGCTGGAGAATCGGATGCTGCTCTGGCTTATTCTATACTGCTTTCTAATAACATTAGCTAATTAGTTTTGCAAACAAATTGGAGCCTTCAGTCTCACTCTTGGTTCTAATTATAGCGCTTTCTAGCTCTGCATCGCTGACCCGGCGAGCAGAGCCTCTTCCTCTTGTTTTCTGTTTGGAGTTGCAGAACGGTCCTTGAAATGCAATTTACGGAATATAGAAAAGAGTTTTGCCTTATACGTTGCCGTCTTTTCTGAGATTTAGAAAACACATACCTGCTTCGTCACTGAAACTGTAAGTAGCGATAAGGCGTTACTTTTGAGGATTAGCATGTGAACGAGGAGCGACGGTTGCCGAGCTGCCAGTGGGGCTCCTCTCGGCTCTGGGGCAGGACCGCTCGGCAAGGGCGCGCGCGGGGCGACGGCCCGAGTCGGGAACGGGCAGGGATGATAGAGGCAGCTGTGCACGAGGCAAAAGCTGCGATTCCTGCCACTTTGCTTAGGCTGGTACTAGCTGGACTGTTGGGCGGTACTAACCTTTCAGTGCAGAGTTTGCTCGCCGAAAGTAGCGTTGAGGACCAATTCCTTTTAGATAGCGCTACGCCTTGGACGCTTGGCGGTAAGTAGACGGTTGCTGTATCTTCCTTTCACTATTTCTTTCCTTTTCTTCTTGACGCGAGGGTACGTTCTCACAACTGGTTTCCATCTCTGATGCTTTCGAACTTGTGGCTTCCAAGCAAAAAGCAGCCATGTCCTAAGAGCGACCACATCCCGCGTTCTGCCTTTCATAAGCACTCTCATTTAATGCTGCCCTGATCATTGGAAGAATAATAATCAACAGAGATTGATGAGTAGGGGATTCAGTAATTTGACTTTTCTTTTTAATGAACAGTGGCCCGGCCATTCCAGACAGCATAATTAAAGCTGCGTTTCACAGTGCCTGATTGTAATTCAGGCCAAGGGAGAAGTGGTGACAGTGAATGATGGAGTCTTCCATGTTCACACCTACGCGCTGTGAAGGTTTCGCCGCAAAGGATGAAACAGGCTCGTGCTTTAGTATCTTACCTTCTGGGAGATGGGCGTACGCTGGAAGTACCCCATCCAGACACTAGCCAAGACAGCGATGGCAGGCAAGCGCAGGCACTAAAAATAAAACAGAAGGAGAGTCCGACTGTATAAAGTCAAACCAATACGACTGGAGAAAGTCAATCCCTAACTTAATCATTCTAGGGAATTTTCGGGATTATGAGCATGTGTCTGGGCACCTATAGGGATAACAGCCAGTGATGGGGCAATTGTGTGCCACAGTTTGTGCGATTCTGGCTGCACACGTGGCTGTCACGTACTGGATCTGCAAAGCGCTCCTATCTCTCAAGTATCCCCTGGAAAGGAGCTAAAACGGTGAGAGAGTTGGAAGATTTGATTCATATGAAATAGATTAGTTTGGCCAAAAATTCTGCTTTTAACAAAACAGTTAAGTTTCAAAAGTAAGCTGCTGTTCAGCGTAAGACTTGCGGTCAAGATGATGGAAGCTAGGAAAATGCGGGCTCTTTCCTGGGAATGACTCCCTGGCAGCTAGAGCTGGCTGGTCTGCGCTCCCGAGTCGGCTGTTCCTGAGCGTGTGCCTGACAAGAGAACGCGCTAAGGCTCCTGCCCTGACTCTGGGAGAGACCGAGTGAGTCACCTGGCGGGGACGTTTTCCAGCACTTACGTGAACCCAAAGAAATGCTGCTCTTACCAGACCGGTGGCACGACTCTCGGTCTCCACAAAAAGCAACTGGCCCTTGTGCTGGTGCCGTGTTTCAAAATGCAAATAGATTGTGTTCAAAGCATCGCTGTGGGAAGAGCCGGCTGCATCTTCCTTTGCGTTATGACAGTCCTCTGGAGCACCAGCCGCAGCCACCTATTAAAAAGTTGGCCATTGTTTTCTTGGGAAAGCTCATTTAGTTCGTACTTGAACCGCGGCTGACTCATTTTGTTACGAGAGCGAGTGGTCTTGCAGCCACAGAAGCAATTGGAAGGAGAACTCTTTACTCAGTTTAGGAGTTGGCTTCGTGCAGAGGTGAAGGAAACCTCGCTCTCCCTGCACAGTCACGGGCGATTGCCCCATCTCCTGGAAGGAATGGGGACAACCGCCCCCAGTCTCTCTTGGAGCCCACAGCCCATGCCCAGGGCTGGTACTCCGCAGCCGTCAGCTCTGAACTGAAGATATACAGTGCTTGTTTAAAGGGGCCAAGAGGTGACTGGCGTGTTTACTGGCGTGAGAGTCGGTCTAGGAACGGCTGCCTTGTTTTACTGCTGTTGCTGATTTATGGCTTGTGGAAGGTGCCAGGGAATAGTCGCGGTAAGAAAGAAGAATCTGGTAAGAAAATAAAAATGTCATGCTAAAAGCGTCCCTTCA